ATTGAAATGTACAGTCACATATTGGTGATTCTCTTAGAAATTCAGTTTCAAAATTATATGCTTATTCACTAAACTTGCAAAGACAACAGTTAAAAACATACATCCTTCTGTAAGCACAAAAAAAAAATGTGATTTTGGTATTTTGGCCTTGAATATGTATACTCAAGACAGACAATCTTTCAGCTTTTACTGGTGCAGTTTTTACAAAATATTCCTTTAAGTAATCAAGGAATAGTAAACTAGAAAATCTTCCTAGAATATGCAACCAACCATAGATGTTTAAATTGCGTATGGTTGACTATTAAAGAGTCAAGAATTATTTCACTGTAGGAACATCTTGTTTCTCTAAACAAAATAAAATCTACTATTAATGTAAAGACTTAGCAATGCTTAAGATGAAACCCATCAGATTAGAAAATAAATATAAAGGTATTCTTAGAACAACAAATTTCCTAAGAATATTACTGATTCAAATAAGGCTACTCCAAAACATCTGTTTGTTCACTAGAATGTGATGAATTGCATTTGTATATATGTTCTCTACTTTTAATAAAGGAATTAAAACCAAATAATCCTCCACCTTAATGCACCTCAGACTTTAATCAAGACTGTTACATGCTAGTCTTTGCAAACCTCAGTCAACTAAAACCTTAGGTTTCTATTAAGACACATCGATTCTTTACTGAGCATATTTGGTAACATCTCTGTACGGTACGTAAAGGACAACTTCAAAGTCATCGGATTCCCTCACCATGAACCATGTATGTTAAACATCAGTTGAGTCAAAAAAATCTGAAAAATGTAACCAAACTATGGAGTTAGCCTGAACTGACAAAATCAGTGCTGAAATATGACATTTCAAAGTACTTAACATCTCGTTACAAGACTCTTGAGAAGAAATTCAATTTATTTTTCAAGAGCTTACCCCTTGAGCAACAAATACTTCATACACACAGCATATCCCCACCACCGTTATTCCTTGTTCTTTACACAGTGTTGCAACAGCTACTAGAAACACAGTCATTGCAATAGGGGTCCACACTGCAAATAAGGAAGACATTGAAAATGTTCCATCTTACAACAAAATCAAACATTTAATAAAGTCAATTAACCTAAAAAGTGAAGACTTGGGCTTTTCTCGTTTGAACATGCTATGTTCTATAAACTTATTCAGTATGCCATTTGTTATTAAAGCGAAGATTACCAGTTCTACTCTACAGAAAATAATACACATGTATCAGTTTTAAAACTGCCTCCCTTATATTGAAAGAACTAAATGAAAGGCAAAAGACTAACTTATGATAGCAAAACAAAAAACCCCATCTTTCCTAATTCATCTGAACACTCTATCAAACGGAATGTTTTATAGGGAGTCATGAATTTTCACAAGGTCAATGTGACTTTAGAAAAGAGGCAAGCCTCCTACACCTCCACTGAAAATCTGCAGCTTACTTGTGACCATCTGAGGCATCTCAGTATACTTCAACTTACTTGCATTAATAGAAGAGAGTGCAAGAGTCCCCTACTTTAGGTGTTACAAAACAACTGAAAAAGTGGTTAAGTCTTGAAAAAAAAAAAAAAGGCACTTCATAATGGAAAGTAATATTACATGGGTATCTTGAGGCTGAAGGTTTTTTGTACACACTTGGTGAATAACCAGCCCACCTGTATTATCATTTTGAGAGCTCTATTATCAGTGATATAGAAATTAAGTTATGTATATATTTGTCAATCATTTACCTATGGTATTATCTGGCCCTTTAGATTTTGTATATGACAAAAAAGCAGCTAGAAAAAAGATCGATGATAAAAGTTCTGCTCTGCCCACAACTCCAGTTACCTGAAAAGAAAAAGAAGAAAACACAAGATTATTCTTCCAGTGACTACTGTAGTCCTAGCATAGTGCATGACTGATATACTATCAGCATATGCATAAACAAGATCTGTAAATCAAGCGAAAAAAAACTAAGAAGAGTAAGGCTGCTTTCTGCTCAATCACTACTGAACACGAGAACAGGACGATCCAGGTCACAGCTGGTGGTCACCTGTCGCTAATGTGACCCTAAGTATCACCGTTGAGGAGAGCAACAGAAATGCTGTACTTTCTTTTATCTTTAGTAGCACCAGCCACAAACAGCATTTGCGGCAGGGTTAGGGTAAGATAACAACTGCTTTCTTCACAAGAATTGGAAGAAACTAGCTTTCATCATTAAGAGCTTTAAGTGAAGCCTGACAAGGACTGTTGTACATATACATCCTGCAGACAGTGGCATACAGAAACTATGATTGCTATTTTTGTTCCTATCTTTTCTGACTGAACATATCTGAATCTGAAAGAAGCATTCCCTTGACTAGTGCTATGGCAGCTCTCAGGTGAGTAGTTAAGAATTACAAATAAATTTATGGCAAGCTCTGTGCAATGGAGTTAAAGAATGATTCAGGCTTTGCTACACATCTGGAAATTTTCTGAATGAAAATTTGGTTGGCAATATTAAAATTGCAGGTAGTGCTTCATTTGGTAATGAGACACGGGAAAGGATTTTACGAAAATTTGGAGAAGTGCTAAAATCCACAGGGTAGATGTGTTGTTTCAGATTTCCCAATGAAATAGATTAATTTCCATTTCAGCAGCTGTTTTCAAAAAACATTAAGGTGCAACCAACAACCAGAGATGAAAAACAGCTCACTATGTTAATGGTTACTGCAGTAGCCACTGTGCTGACCGCAGTACCATTTAGGACTGCTTTCTTCCTCATTTATCCTCTTCTGTAATGCTTCTGATTACACCAAAATTTTTGCTAGCAAGCTGGCTGAAAAATGGCATCCTATCCCGAGGCAGATGGTTGTATTTAGCTAAGAAAACCTCACAGCTCATCGTTTAATTATGATGATGCTGAAACCTGACATTCAGCTATCCAGAGCTAGCTAGAAGTCTTTTTTGCTAGGTAGATTCTTGGTCAAGCATGATTGATCCAGCACAGTATAAAAAGTGAAAGCAATTTAATATTCAAGGTCACAGTGTAAAGAAAAGTATTCAAATCAGAATTTGAAATCATGCTCTGGTGCTTCCATTGGGAGCAGCCTGCATTTACCAAAGGACTTGCTGCATCATGCACAAACAAAGCATGTTTCACAACTGACAGGATATCAGAGTTTGTGTGAACATTTTGCATAGTATACATGTGTTCGTTCCCAAAAATGTCTTAAGATGTTTCAAGGGTTCCTGGTCTGGATCTCAAAATTTTTCAGCATTAAGACAGAAATTAAAGAAATTGAAAAATATGGATATATCACCCAGCTGGCTTGTATTGGTAATGATCTAATTAAGGTTTAGGCCCCACCTACAAAAGGCGGGCCATTTCCTCCTGGCTGCTGAAGATGCAACGACATCCTTGGAGCCGCAGCCTAGTCTGGTGAGCAACAGAAAAAGATCACTAGTAAAGCAAGCATGCTGGTGTGCCTTCACAGTCCCCTGACAAGAAAAGAGAGATTCTATTTCTAGATACAAAGGTGATTTATGAGAGAAAATTCCAGCACTCACAAGGTTAGTTGACATCCCATGGCTGTGAAGATGGTCAACATGCCAGAATAGTAGCAAAATAGCTAGTAAGACTGAACTTGAATTCCAAAGACAAGGACAAATGAAAACTATGATGCTGTTATCCAAAACAGAAAAAAAAAAATGTTTCCTCAAAAGTTCTTCCTCAGAAAACAATGTATTACCACCACAAGAGCCCAGCTTCTCTCTGAAGTCAAGCAGAAAAATGTTTTCTATTTATCCTGCTTTGCTAATTTCTCCAGGAAGAATCTGTTTATCACAAGAGAGGTAAAGGTTTGACATGTCTATGTATTGCATCTGCTGTTTCAAACTCTTGTGCCAGGGAGTAATAAGTAGGAGACTAATTTGAAGGAATTAAAATCAGACACATTTCAATTATCAGATGATAAAAAAGGTACCATTAAACGATACAAAAACTAGGAATGAGACCTGTTTTGAAGTTTTCACTCAAGTCTGAATATGTTAGCTGGAACCCAAGTCCTCATTCTAAAATCCAGCTCATTATTACCTCCTCTTTTCCATTTATGGAAACTTCCAGTTGTTTTGCCTTTTATACACGAGCCCAAGTCTCAACTGCCAACTCTAAGAATCCCTTCTTGGTTGCATGTTAGGTGGAATTCTCAATGCAAACACTTGAAAAGATAAAATGCTCTATTTCTCAAAAGCAGAAAGCTTAAAATGGAAACAAGGTGGGGGAGGAAGAAGAAAACCCCTTAGCTGCTTCTTCACTGAGTATCTAAGTACAGCAGCAGAATTCAATTACAATTGCACACAAATCTCAGCGTTTCAAAATGTTAAGTGCAGCACGAAGTTCTACCGATCACATAGTCTTAAAGTGCCCTCATGTGGCTAATATCAGGTATGACACACTTATCACCCAATGGCTTCATAACCCTATTTTGTAACACGTTGCCTTACAGGACCAGCTTCCCTTACACAATGTTTTGTAGGATCTGTACAAGACATTTTGCTCACTCTGTAGCAACTGTGTTACTGTTACACGGAATCTGAACAGTTCAAGCATGATAAAGAATCATCATATTTGGAATGAAAGTGATAAAATCACATAGGATGATCTAAACTGTAAACCACTAAAGTAAGTCACTAGCAACTTGCTAATGCTCTTGTAAAGATACTATCACATTTACTACAAAGAGGCAGAGCCAATCTTTGAAATTTAAATCACGTTTTTTCAAAGAAACAGAAAACCAAATGAAATTAACAAATAATTTTTTTAACCCATATTTTACGCAAGACTTTATAGGGCTTTGTACTTTCAACCACAAAAGCAAGCAAAAATTTTTAGGTGTTTAACTTCTGCATTTTTAAACATGCACCCAACTTCTAGCAAGGACATATTAGTAGCTCAAGTAGCAGCCAATTATAAACCCCATGAACTTAATTGTTATAAAGATCTGCACAAAATACACAGATCCAGGCTACTGAATTGCTACTAAGAGGGATTTGTGTCTCTAGAGAACAAGAGAGATGTGAACTCTTTACCCAAATAAATCAGGACCAAAAAAACTGAGAGAGACTGCTGAGAATGGGCTTTGCAACACATGTGAACTGGAATCTAGGAAAGCCAATCTAAGCGGTGCAGAAATAACAGCAGAGAATTCTGCAGATCTGCTTTATCAGTGTTTCTGATGGAAACGAATTAATGAACGGTGATCACAAGACTCCACTTACTTCACAACACTGCAAGCCTAGCTGACCACTAAAAAGTATATAATCAGACAGCTTGTACAAATAATGGTTTTCATAGCAGTGAAAAACTCCTTCAGAATCAAACGAAAGGTAAACATGAGATGTGAGAAACGTATTTCCTCTTTATCGGATACATTCAAAAATGGAAGGTTCAAACAGAATGGCCCTAAGCTGGATGTAGCATAGAAACAATAATCCTAGAAAATGTCCTGCTGAGACAGAACCATTGACATGAAAGGAGGTGGACAGCACTGACTTGGTGATTAGCTGGAAGGGAGTGCTTAGCGATTCTGGAAATGAATTGAGAGGTATTGATAGTATTTACAAAACATGATATTGGATGAATCATCACAGAATAAATATCTATGTAAGCTAAAGAAGCTGTCATCATAAAAGCCAATGTTCACAGCAGAGATCCAAGTTATTTAATAACTAAATTAATATTCCTTTAATTATTTTTCAGTAGGTGCATGAAATACTAAACAACTTTGAGCATTAAAATCTGTCACCTCCACCTCTCAGTGCAAAGGGCAGAGTAAGTACTGGTAAAATCACATACTTTTGGTAGTTACAACATATAAACGGATATAAAACCCATGAAATTTAAGGTTAAATAATACAGCTTGAACAAATTAAGCATATCAAAGCTATACATACCGCCTCAGTATGTATTGGGTGCACTGCAAAAAGCAAGGATGCAACTACGCTGCTCCTGTTGTCCAGAAAAAGCTTACACACCTTGAGGAAGACTACACAAACCACCACATGAAAGACCAGATTTAGGAAGTGGTAAGAAACTGCATTTAACTCGCTGAACAAGTAGTTTAAGCGAAACGTAAGAACTGTAAGGGGACGATAAGATTTATGACTCCTCTCCTAAAAGAAAATAAATAAATAAATCAGTCACCACCAACTTACAAAGGGACTTCTACCCCAAAATATCTTTCTAAAAAATCTATGCATACATGATTCCCCCCTCTATTTTCAGGCATCTACTTTCAGAATGAAGCCCTGAATATCAGTAATATTAAAAAATAATAATAAAATAATCTAGTGAATTAAATGAAAACTCAAAATTAAAACATTAAACAGAGAAGTTAATTCTGACTATTTTTCCAACTTCTGTATAGTTTTAATGTATTATTCCAAAATTTTGATCACTGTCATTTCATGTTTTAGATCAGTATTTTATAAAATAATAATTTGGTAAGCTCAGCTGAATGTATTATCTACATATTTTCAATACATCTACCAGTCAATATGTCTATGTTGCCAGTTACTCCATCCATAAAACCTTTTTAAAAAAATACACTTAACACTATCTTCCTGTTCACAAATGCATCTGTCAACCCACAGCCTGTTGATATTTTGCTGAATATGTCCGTAAAACAAAGGAAGAATATCAAAGAAAAAATTGGGACACACACACACGACAGACACAGGGAACCCGACTGCACATACGCACAGACAAAAACACAAGATAGGAAAAAATATTTTAAAAGCCATGAACAACAAAATTAATCTGACTTCCTGTAGTCAGAATTAACCTTTCAGTTGGTTTTAAGTGCAAAATCAACACGGAATGAGATGGCTTTCTACTGCTCCACATAGTTAGGGTTTTTCTGGAGCAAAAACATGTTGAAAAATACTACTTGAAATTTTACTGGGAGGAGTTTAGGAACCTATTTACTTAAATGACTACAGGACTAGATGGCATCTGAAAAAGTCTGGAAGCTTTCAATACAGGGTTATATGAAAATTAAGCATCAAAGTCTATTTGTAGAGCTTGTATCTCACAAGGAACTAACTCTGTATGTTATGACCATAAGAAAAGAGAAGATTGTAAGACAGAATGCCTTGATAGGCAAAACATCTACGACTGTCAGAATTTTTATGCGTTTGCTCAGCAATGACACCATGTGTAACTTTCTAAACTATAAGTAAATCCTTTATCCATTGCCATTTAACCATATTTATCAACAATTTTAATGCCAATGCAGCTTTTCAGATAAAAACATAGCCACTCTACATGGGCTACAAACCAAAAACTCTGAATTCACATAAACATCTTTACTCAACTAACTTTAATGGATTCAATACCCATTCTCTAACTCCTAGCTTTGTTGCTTAAGCATGTTATCTTTCCTTCCAGGCTGCAATTACAAATAAATACTCTTGTATGTCAAAGCCTAGCTTTTGCAGGAGAAGGGAAAACGGTCACAGTTGTCCAATTCAATACTGGAATTAGATAACACACAGCATCTTGAAGCATGATATATGACTTCAAGTTCTTTTACTGAACAAAGGGAATATAAGCGACATCTGTTCCTGATCTTATAGTACAAAACACTAACACCACCAAATTCCATCAGAAACAAACTATTCTCTTAAAATCACATTAGGGAAAAGAAGTGTAAAAACTCTCTGCAAGGTTTTTTTCCATTTCCTGCATGTCTCAAAGTGTTTCACAAACAGTTTACCTCAGACATCGGAGTGCCCCAGAAGTCATTCTGAAATAGATTTGTTATCGGAGTAGAAGGATGCAAATCTTTATTGTCCAAAATCGCTGAAACATCATCAAAAACAAAGCCACAAAAGAGGCTGTTCCAGTAGCAGGCTGCCACCACACCGAGTATTAGTGCTACTTCCTTCAGGCTTACATCAGCCATCTTCTCTAAGAGTTTTCATGGACAAAAGCTGAAACGTATGGTCAGAAACTTGAGTAGTTTTACTGATTAAAAACTAAGCTTCAGAAAGTCAAATTAAAACAGCTGTTATTTTAGAAGCTAAATGACAGTATGTATAGTATCTAAAAATCAGTAAGATAGAAAGCTTTCCCCAAGTCTCATCCCTCTTATACAATTTAGTGTTTAAAAGAAATACTTTTATTAAAAGGTCTTACCCCTAAAAAGCCCTCACAAAAGGTGGATACATTGCTACATTTCATGTTTTACTGAAACACGAAGTAAGATTGAAGATAACCTGTGATGTAGTTTTTAGCCGGCAGCTACGCAGTTCATGTGAATGCTGCAAACTGAAGAACTATGAGAATTAAGTTCTCTAGACCTTGAGTAAATTAAAATACTTAGACTCACAGAACAGTAAGTTATAAAAAGGGCAGACTGTGCTAATAATTAATGTTTTTTAGGTTTACAGGTGTTTCTCAAAATGTTTCAAAAGCAATTAAAAAAATTTCAAACATGCTGAAGAACAAATGGGAAACAAAGAGCTTCATAAATACATTCGAGAACAGGTAAAGAAGGACATTAGTAATACTAGTAAGTTAAACTTACCATTGAAGCTCACACTTTGCTCATTTGCATTCTTCATAGAAATTCAAAGGTCATTTTTTTCTCAACTCTGCGAATTGCTCTGATGTCATTGAATATTTATGAGTCCTGTCTGAAGAAAAACAGCATGCAAAAAAGACACTACAAATGAACTGTATTTTTCTCTCATCTTGCATAAACTTTCTAAGCTCTAGAAATTATTAAATAGCAATTTTATGATTATTTTAAAAACAATATATGAGTGACCCAATCAAAAGGTGAAATTACTATGTATGGGGTTGTTTGAAAACACTGTTCTGCCTTGAAAGAATAAGGAGGTAACTACAGGTCAAAGGCATTATTTTGACCACTGGTTGCCTGGCAGTCAATTACTGCCCATTGTGGAGACCAAAGATATTGAAAAGCTACAGACAGTTGAACATTGACTTAGTTTGGAGAAAAAGGAGAGATGCCTGAACAAAAATATATAGCATCTTCCCCAAAACTAGAGGGGGGTAACAGCTGTAAGGACACAGAATGGCTAATATTAGCCAAATAATGCAGATTCATAAATATGTAAAAATACCAGCCTCATGTCTATCACAGTTCACGCATTAAAGCTGGTAAATTAATTGGAAGCTAGTCTGTTTTATTGTCCTTAGCCCTGAAATGCTGGTGATTTTTTTTTTATTTTGGTTTGTTGGATTTTTTTGTGTTAATGCTAATTTTTCAGGTTTAAGTATACTATCCTGTAAAAACAGACTATAGAGATATCTCATCCAGACAGGTCACCTCAGTTGTGGTTTGCAGCCTGGGCACAACAATCACCTATTACAACTAGTGCTAAAGGAGCAGTGGTACAGGAAGGAGTATGTGTATAACAAGATGCAGGTGCAGTAAAACTAAAAACCAGGACAAAGATAATTTAAAAAGAATCAAACCAATCCATTCAGTGTTACTCACATAACGGCAGTGAAGGTATTTTTTCCTTCTGTAGTACTTGGAGCACTGGCTACTGCTGTTACTTCAACCAAGAAAGAGCCTTTTTTTCAGAGCTGCCACTACCTTTGTAATAAAGAAGAAAAACAAACAAAACCAGATAAAAACCCAATGTTAAATGTCAAAGGATGCTGCTACATCTTTTTGCCAGGCTGGATCAGAGTACTTTAAAACACTAAGCCAAGTCTGAACATATTTATGGTCTTCTCGGCAGCCAAAGAAATCTTATCAAAAAAAAGAAAACAAACCATATTGCAGGAATATATGAAAAGACACCCCACTTTTGAACTTCAACTCAAAGATTTTTACTTCCTCTCTCAAAGAATGTGGAGGAGAAGAAACTGCTGTTCTCATCCTGCCAGAAGTAGAGTTTGAAAGTCCTTGTTTGCAACAGCTTCTGAACCGTGCTCTTCCTACTTCTTGAAGTTCACTAGTTCTACTGAAAAGCAGTAACATCTGAAAAGGACCCCCAACGAACATGTAATGATTTTCCAACATACTAGACAATGTTTTTTGAATCCTGTGTTCCAAAAATTAACATGACAAGATAACATTGCCACACAGATCAATCATAAAGTTTATTCAAATTCACCCTTTAAGGAAAAGCATCGCACGGCAAGCAGGTTTTTGGTGACTTGCGACTTCTTTATTAACAATGTAAGTTTACTGTATTGGTTGAAGCAGCGAGCCCTTGCAGATACTGCTTTGAGTATCAAAGAGTAACTTGAAGTAACTCTTTAACAATCCTATTTCAGAAACATCTACTGCTTCACAAACAGGGAACAAAGGATACTTTGCTAAGTATACCCTCCTATCCAAAGGCAAAAGCTTAACCAACCTTAATTGCTAGGTCCTCAACTACTTTTTGGAGGTTTTTACTTTTCTTTTCCCTCCACAGAGTATAGTCAAGACAGCTACTATACTTATCCCTTAATCCTAGGCAATTTCAATGCTTTCACAAGCTCTTCTTTTTGCTCAGAACTTCTAGTATTTCTTGCGCCCAGAACTCTAATTTTACACCACTACTGACCATGCTCTTCTCTGACA